CTCTACAATAAATAAATAAAAAAATTAGCTGGGCGTGGTAGCTTGCGCCTGTAGTTCCAGCGACTTGGAAGGCTGAGGCGGAAGGATCGCCGGAGCCCAGCAGGTTGAGGCTGTGGTGGCCGGGAGCGTGCCACTGCACTCCAGTCTGGGCGACTGAGTGAGACTCTAACTCAAAAAAAAAAAAAAAAAAAAGGCAAAATAGTAAGTATTTGGGGCTTTGTGGGCCTTTTAATCTATTGCTACTACTCAACTTTGCCATTGTCGTGCAAAAGTAGTATAGGTAGAAGAATGAATGCACCTGTGTTGCAATAAAACTTTATGTATGGATTCTGAAATTTGTATTTAATATAATTTTCATGTGCTTCAAAATACTATCCTTCTTTTGATTTATTTCACTTGTTTAAAGAATGTTAGAAAACATTCTTAGCTCACATTTGGACAAAACTGGGTAGCAGGCTGGATCTGGCCTACAGGCTGTAGTTTCCTGACCCTGGCTTAGGTTGTGGTTAGAAACTTTGGGGAGTTGTACATTAGTTTAATAAAAGAAAGCGATGATAATTAGAGGTAGCCAGAAATGTAACGAATATCCTCAAATAAGTAGTGAGTTTCTTGTTACTAAAGAGTTTAGGTACAGGCTGGATAATTAACTATCTGGCAAGGGATGATATAGCAATGTGTTGATTTAGTACAAGTTATACTAGACTTTTCTTCTAATTCTGTAGGAGTATTGAAATCAGGATGACATATGCCTGCTTTAAATTGTACTTGCTTTGTAGAAGGAAGTTGTTTTTCCTCTCTTGGTACTTACTCTTAGTCCTCCCATGTTGCTGGATTAGGGACACTCGGGCGTGGGAAGCTGGCTTCCTTGCTTCAGCACTTCTACCAAGTGTTCAGGGACCCCCCGGGACGTGCCTTAGTTGGAGGTTGGTTATGTCCATTATGTTCAATAGGAGGAACTTGACTGAGAGCACCTAAGGCTTCCACACTGGTAGAGAGGACACCCTCCTGACGAGGACCACCTTACTCTGTCATTGAGTTCCCCAAGGCAGGTAGGGTGGCTGGGTTAGGACGTGGGCTGGAGAACCTTCATCTCTCAGTTAGTTCTTTCTGTGGGTGGGCCACACCTCATTCTGTGACTGGAGAAAATCACCTCCAACATTTTCCCCTCCAGACCACTGGGGAAACCGTTGCACTCTGGGGAGCTCTGAGTCTTTGTCCAGAATGAACTTTGGGACCAAAGTCTAAAGTACGAGGCTGTGAATCATTGACTGTCCAGGAGCTGATTGTCCAGTCAGTGGACATCTAGAGATTAGGTCAATTTTCCATCACTGTCAACTCTGCTTCCTTGTTTTTCTTTTTTGCTTTTCCCTTAACTTCTGTCCATTTTACTTCCAATCAGCCTCGCTCCCCAAATACACACAGAGAAAAAATAAACAGCCCTTCCTGGAAGCCAAAAGTGCCGGATTGAAGTTTTGAATGCTTTGTTTTTGTTAGGGATTTATCTAAATCCCAGCCTGTTCTTACCACAATGCAGTTTCTCTATATCTTTGTAAAGCACCAGATACTTCAAAAAAATCTTATTTGGGAAACTTTTAAGCATCTACAGTAGACAGAAGAATAGAATCAACCTCATGTGCCCATTGCCAGCTTCAACACTGACCGATTCCTGGCCAATCATGTCACCTATAACCTCTTACTTTCTCCGGTGTTATTTGGAAGCGAATTCACAGGAAGTTTGACATGCTGTATTGACTCTCTTGTGTCTTAACATGTTGGTTCTCTGTATTCTGTTTCAGATCATTGCCTTCGACGAGTTAAGGACAGATTTTAAGAGTCCCATAGATCAGAGCAACCCCGTTCATGCGGTAAGTAGCAGGTATTGGTGACCCCAGACCAAACAGGGCCTGGGAAGGGAGATGGGAACTTGAATGAGTAGAATGAGTAGAGAACATGCTCGCTCTCACTGTGCCTCCTTCTCTGCCTCAAGGTTGTGGAGGAGCCTTCTTGTTCTCGAGGCCTGGGCAGATCTTGAGCTATCTTGCAAGTCAGGTGTGATTGTCCCAGTAACCCAGGGGAAGAGTCTGCTGTGCTGTGGCTGTTGAGTCCTCAAGGCCCGGTGCATGTGTGTTTTGGTCACCCCTCATTGAATAAGGAGAGAGGCTCCATGTTGGCCAACATACTTGTAGGCCTGTGAGCACCATGAGTGGGGGACTACTCTGCACTCTCAACTTGGGCGCCAGGTTTCTCAGCTGGAGACTTGGAGGATGGGTTGATGCCCAAAGCTCCTAGTGCCACATCATTCATCCAATGAGCATTCACGTCAGGTGATTCTGTGGGCCTGGGGTCAGCTCTCTTCCCTTGGGGAATCTGATGCCATCTGAGTGTTCTAGTCCAGGTTCGGGATGTGAAAGACTGCCTGCCCTAGCGGGCATGGCTCCCAGCATTTTTCCTGCTCACCTGTTTGGCAGGTCCTGCATGCTACCTCTCCCATCTGCCCTGACTGGGCTTCCAGGTGGGAACTTCTGAACGGATATTGGATGGAGGTGGGGATGGGTGTGTTGACTTTGCTTCTCCGATCAAGGTAGCTCACGTCCAGTCATGCAGGTGGACAGAGCCTTTTCCAAACGTATTCCAGACCAGCACTGCTGGATTCAAAGGATGGAGCCCACACGGTTCATTCAAGTGTGTGTCTCAATCCAAGTTCACTGGTTCTGTGTTTAGCTGAAGTAATTTCCAGGCCACGGTTTCCAGTGCTAAGGCAAGTTTTTGTCTGTCTGAGAAGCTCTGTTGATCTTTTCAGTCACAGGTTGTAGCACAAACACCAGGCTCCACTAGTGTGATACCATCTTAACCTGGAGGGTTAATGGTATCATTCTTGAGTAAGAGGGACAAGCAGGTCTCCTTAGCTTCAGGCTCCCTTTGACTCCTTAGCTTCAGGCCCCCTTTGATGAATTAAGGACATATGTTTTAAGGGAGGTACCAAAAGATCATGTGGAGGAACCAGCCTTCCGTGTCCCCTATAATTTTTTTTTGAGTTTTTACTGTGCGTTAGAGACTTTATATACATAATCCATAATCCTCACAACTCTACAAGACAGGCATCATTAACTCAATTTATAGACCACAAAACTTACTCTTTTGTCCAGGGACTATTTATTAGTTCATGAGGGGTAGAGTCAGGATTTGAACCCAGGTTGGCCTGTCTCCAAAGCCTGCATTCTTACCTTCTCTAGGTTGTCTCTTTAAGAGACTTGATTTTACAATATACCAGATCCCCTCTGGCACCACACTCTTTGATTCTATGAAACAGAGTCAAACTCTTTCAAAACAAATTTTGTTGCAAGTTGAAAGGACCCCTAAGATCCACTTGAACACTTACTGGATTTCATAAAACTTACAATTATTAAAATCCATTTTGTTTCCATCTACCCAGGAAACCTGTGATAATTTGAATCTGTCAGGCCTGAAAGGGCTTCAGCCTGGATCTCATGTCTTTCTGGATGTTTTTGTGTTTGGCACCAACATTACACACCTGGCTTGTCGGTGTCTACCAGGTGCAGAGTGGCTCTAGTCTGAGACACAACTTTCATTTGGATTGCCAGGGAAGACAAGGACCCACTTTCCTTCCTCGCAGTAGTTTGGGCTCAAATTAAAAAGCATCTCACTTAGAATATCAGGGATGTCTTGAATAATGTCAGTGCAAATGCTAGGGAAGAAATTTGTCCTGTCACTCAATTGTATCATGCAAATTCCTTGCTGTCTTGCAGGTAATTGGTGACATCATGAAACATTTTTGTGCAGAATCCCTTTCCATCTCACCATGGCAAGCCTCTTTTAATGTAGACCGAATAAAGAAAATCGGGAGTAGTATAAGCTCTCTGGGGAGCTTATGTGAAAGGTCACAGTAAGAACAGAACTTGCATATAGCAGGTGCTCAGTAAGCATTGCAATGAAAGAATGAATGATGAAGTGGTAGCATAGATGCCAAATCTCAACTCTTTTTTTTTTTAAACTCCTATGATTAAAGCCACACTTCTAATTAGTTAGCATATTAGTTAAGGAGCTTGGGCCTATGAAGCCCAGACATTTCATGGACATACTAAAGCCTCTAGGTCCCCCTGAGGAAAAGAGTCTTGTCTGGGATTAGACACACAAGCAACACTATAAAAACCCTAGCTGGAATAGTACTAGACACATCTTCCCAGTTCTTCCGATGGTACTCCCTGACAGGAGGTTAAATGCAGGGATTCAGCCTCCGCTGATCAGGGTCTGAGTTGGGGGGAGGGAATGAGAAAAGAAAGAGAGAAACAGCGGGATTGGGAGGACTCCCTCTCAGGTAGCAAGGAACAAGAGAGGGCAAATTTATTTTACCGAGAGAGAGCAAATTTATTTTACCACGTGCCTCTTATATAGGACAAAAATCTCACAAAGGAAGGTGAAACCATACACGCAGGATATGTTAATGTCTGAGTTAAATCACACAAGCAGGGTAAGTATCAATGGCTAAACTATGCATATCTTGACATCTATACTAAGCAAGGCAATCACTCAGGATGAGCAGGTTCGGGGCCAGACTTGGTGCCGCTTGGCTGTCCATAGAAATGCAACCAAAAGGTCAGGGGAGACAAAGGAAAATGTAGGCTTAGTTCCTTGAACATAAGCCAAAGAATATAAGAACCCTGCCAGCTTATATTCTGGTTTCCTTCAGTTAAACGCTTTGGATGCCTCATTTAACTCATCTTCAAGCTTTTTAGGCCTCTACAGGGCCCCCAAGCTGCATTTCAGGCCCAGGTGGCTTAAAAAACGACTTCACTTGTTGATGACTCTGGCCTTGGAAGGACTTATGTCACAAACAATTGCTGATCCATAGGATGCGTTTCTCAATGAGGGCATGGGGTCCATTTGGATTTAAGATGCCTGAGAGCTTCCAATGTTGTTGGACCGTTGGGGTGGAAAGGAGGAGGAGTGCTCTGTTTCACTCCCTGTTTCCTGTGCTTTCCTTTTATTTATTTATTTATTTACCAACTGGTCACTCATTATCATCTTAAAGTAATGAGAGGTGCTGTCCTTCAGAGACTCTGGCTTGCTGGAGAAGGTGTGAGTGTGTGTCTTGCAGCACCTTCATTCGTGCATGTGTGCACATGCATGTGTGCATGCATGCATGTGTGCACACACAGACACATGTGCTGAGGAAGATGCAATCTGTCTTCCTAGCTACACGAATACTAATTTGTCCTGATGTGGACTCCTTCCTCTGGGCTTACAGCATGCACAGGAATCACTATATTTATGATTTAATTAGGGAAATGAAGTGTCCCAGCCACCTGTCCTCTCCGGATCCACGAGGAATCTCATTACCATCACATCTACAGCAACCAAATTGCCTTGGTAATGAAGCACCAGGAGATGCCACAGCTGTGTTCAGTGTGGCTTAGGAAATCGTTCAAGTCACTGAAGGAAAAGGGAAGCAACAGCATTTAGTGAGCCATGTGAGCATCATCGCCTGCCTGGCCTGGGGCATCTTCCCTTGGCAGCGGGCCAGACCTCAGAGATGGACTTGGACTTCTTGAAAAGCCTTAGCCCAGGGGCACTATTGGTGTCTAATTTAGTGGGGAAATTTCCTCCTCCAAGTGCACTCACTCTAGAAAAATAAAGCCAATAGGTGGAGAACTTGTTTACCTAGACACTGATGAGAGCACATATCGTTTTGAGATCCAAGTGGGAAGTCCCCCGCCCCCCGGGAGAGCCGGCCACAGGCTTTAAGACATTCAATGAACACAAGATACCCATTCTTCAGTTTGACCATCTTCTGTGTACATGGAGACCAAGAGAGATTTTGCTGTAGAAAAAAGAACAGAAGCCTATACAGGGCTGAGGACAGCTGAGTCCACGCTGCTTGCTGGGAGAGTTCTGTTAAGAGCAAATGACTTTGACAAGCTAGATGGAAGAAAGCCAGAAACTGTTAGAAAAACCACTTGGTGGGAGCATGCTAACTGTGTGCCCAGGAGGGGTCTCTGGTGGGTTCTGCTTCCTCTGCTGGGGCTGCTGCCAGGGCTTTTCATGCTCATTCAGCAGATCTGATCTCCCCTCTCCCTTCTTTCTTGTGCATCCTGATAGAGGGAACGGCTAAGGAACATCGAGCGCATCTGCTTCCTTCTACGAAAGGTCAGTGTGGTGGCTTCATGCTGGAGGGTGGAGGATCACATGGTGGTGGGGGGGCACGGAGTAAGAGGCTGGTGGGGCCTAGTGCCTGTTCTACCAGGAAGGCAAATAGTGGCAGAGAGGGGGAGGTGGAAGTGAGTGATCTGTTCTTTGGAAACCTCCAGAGACAAGAGGAGCTAATTAAAAGGGGGTGGCCATCAATCACAGTATCGGGACAGCCCTGGATATATGCACACGCTCTGTGGTTGGAGTTAGAAGCTCTTTATCTTTGCATGATGATGGATGGCATTCGCAGTTGCTGCTGCCTCGTAGCCTTTGTTTCTGTCTATAGTGGGGCTCAAGAACACTCCTTCCCGACCTTGAGAAGTTTTAAAACTAAATGCTGGGTTTCCTTTGAGGTTTCAGCCTGTCACTCAGCTTTGCTATTTGATTGGCAGGATCACTGCAAGTGTGGGAAGGGTGGAATGAGGAGGTCTTATTAAAGGGGGAGCCGTGCCATTCAGAGAGTTTCTCGGAATGGAGGGGCAGTAGGTCACAGCTTCCCCAGACTCATTCAGGAAGCACATGTGTGCACGTGTAGTCCAGGCTTGGTATTTAGCACAGCTCTGTGACATAGCTTCAGGCTCCTGTAACAGAGAGATCGGTCTGTCTTTTTCCAGTTAGGAAGGTGAGTGCTTTTTGCAGCAAATTGTAGAGAATAGCAAGTTGACAGGTAAAAGAAGCAGCATCCATAGCCTTGAATTAAAGGACATCCCTAACCTCTGTAAAGAGTAGATGAACTGTACACCATAGGAAAGCCATCTGCCAACCCCAAAGGAGTTTTTGAGCTTCATGTGAATAGTAGAGAAACCAAATGCTGTGCCAACATTGGTTGAAGGCGGAAACTTTTTTTTTTTTTTTTTTTTGAGTTGGAGTCTCACTCTGTTGCCCAGGCTGGAGTGCAGTGGCCGCTCCCGGCCACCGCAGCCTCGACCTGCTGGGCTCCGGCGATCCTTCTACTTCAGCCTTCCCAGTAGCCGGAACTACAGGCACGCGCTACCATGCCCGGCTATTTTTTGGTTTATTGTAGAGACAAGGTCTTGCCAAGTTGCCCAGGCGGGTCTCAAACCCGTGGGCTCAGGCAATCCACTCACCTTGGCCTCCCAAAGCACGGGATTACAGGCTGAGCCACTGAGCCTGGTTTAGGGGGAAACATTTTGCAAGCTTTTGAAGTTTTTTCTGTAGTCCAATAATTATACCTTTTACTGGGAGAGAGTTTAATCAAGAAACCTGTTATTTTTCTAGCTAATTACTTGTTCTTTAACGTCTTTTAAGAAACATAGTATGAACTGGGCTCAGTGGCTCAGCCTGTAATCCCGCGCTTTGGGAGGTCGAGGTGAGTGGATTGCCTGAGCCTGCGGGTTCGAGATCCACCTGGGCAACTTGGCAAGACCTCATCTCTACAATTAAAAAAAAAAAAAATTAGCCGGGCATGGTAGCACACGCCTGTAGTTCCAGCTACTTGGAAGGCTGAGGCGGAAGGATTGCCGGAGCCCAGCAGGTCGAGGCTGCTGTGGCCGGAAGCAGCCACTGCACTCCAGTCTGGGCGACAGAGTGAGACTCCAACTCAAAAAAAAAAAAAAAAAGAGAAACACAGTATGTTAAAATTCCATGTCTTATAGGACACAGCAGGGAAATATGCTCAGATAAAACTTTTGTATGAAAATATTTGTGATCCAAGGAATAAAGAATGATTAGGAAAATAACATATAATGTGAATTCATACATTTATAAGTTACTTTTCCAGACAATATCTTGGATACCCAGAACCTGCTCTAGCCAGCACATCTAGTCTTTGATTTGCTCTTTAAGACTAACACATAAGTGGCATAGAATGGATCAAGACAAAATCAAAGTTTTGTCCTTCAGACTCCAAGTTCCCCCCTTTTCCCCCATCCTAAATTTATCATCTTTTAAACTGGTACCATCTTTATTCTCTGGTAGAGTGATATTCCATATCCCTCACATTTTAGTGCTCATTCTTCTATACTGCTTGACCGTTGACTAGCCAAACATCAGGCAATGGCCAAGGTCCTGTGGCCTATGGAACTTATACCCCTGGACCTTTCAGAGGTCAGAGCCAAGGATATGAAAGTAGGCATATGGTGCAAGAATTAGCATTACTCTTTGCAAATTTGCATATCATTTGCATACATTTCTATGAGCAGTAGAGTGAGGCATTTTACTCCAAGAAAAATACTCCAAGGCCCTTTTTCTGTTTTTTGCCCTTTTCATTACACATACTCCTTCCTCCCATGCCACTGCCTCTACCAGGAAGTTAAATCAATTGCTGTTTACTGTCGTGGAAAATACCAGGGAGAAAAGATAGACGTTAGAGGATGTGAAACACTGACTTTAAGACGTTAGGTGTAGTGACTGTGTGATCACACCTTCTGCAGCTCCCCGGGGAGCTGCTCTGGGATACTCTAACTGTAGGCAGAAAGAGGCCACGTTCCTGCAACTTTATTTCTTTGTGGAATCTTCCTCCTACTCTCGTCCTCTTGCCATAACCTGACTGTTAATTCTTCTGTGGGCCCTGGATACCTGAGATCATTTTCGGTGATGTCAATGTGATTTCTTTCCAAATGTAATTTCAAACTGTTGGTGTTTCTCTCTGGCCCTTGAGGTCTTGCTGTAGCTCACATGTCCTAATTTAGCTTAATTTGGTAATTCTCTATATTCTCACAGAGGCATGTAGGTACTAGGTCTGGGAGTCTGTCGCTAGAATGCCAGTCCTGGAAGGTCAATGATTTTGTTCTCTTCACTGTCATAGCTAGTGACATAGAGTGCAGAGCAGTGTGTAGCCCGCTGAAGGTGCTCAATACATATTGATTAAGTGAATGAATGAGTGCTGACTTTCTGGGACTTCTGTAATCTAAATCCTTATTGGGGACATGTGGATAGTCAAAAATCTTTCCATTTCTTCATTTCAATAGTGCCCGTGACATAGCATAAAATTTACATATTTTATCACATTTACTCCTTATATGAGATTTGTATTTTAAAATCAAATTTAGCTCGATATTGCATTCACAATTGACACAGAAGATCTCTAACCTGTAGTTTCTCCTGTCCCGTTCCTTTTCTTAATGCTCATGCTCTCTGCCCCCTTGTAGTCTGTATTTTAACCTTCCTAATATCTACTCTCAGCCAATTCTAGGCCTTTCTCAATTGGAGGGTGTTGGTGAAGTGTACAAACTTGTGCTGTTTCCAAATCCTACCTCTGCTCTTTTCATGTGTGTAACCCACAGTGTGTGCCTCAGGGTGGCTGTAGAGTAGTAATAACAGTACCCTTTCAGAGAGTTCTTATGAGAATTAAATGGGATAATATGGGTGCATTTGGCTCACAAGTGCTCAGTACATATTGAATGTTATTATCACCATCCGGACCCGTAGCTCTTACCTAAAACTCTTTATAACATTCCTGAACACACACCTGGGACTGAGTCAGGCCAAGATACTTCTTGTCCCCTCCCCTGTTCTTAGGTAGGTGCTCTTTGATGTTTGAGCAGCATCACAAGGTGGGCTGACCTGATCTGCCTGACTCCTGTCTCTCCTTTTGAATGCCTTCTGAGTTCAGATTCCATTCCATGTGTTGGGGTGTGTGGGGAGGGTTAATGGGTCTAGTTAGCAGCACCGCCTTCTGGGAACCGTACCTTCTAAGAAATTTCTTGGAACTAGCCCTCTAAACACCCTAGAATGTGTTGCATCTCAGCAGTTGATTGTTGTTAAACCACCTCCTCAGCTTTCTCGGGTGAACGGAAGAGATTTTCAAAGTGGATCCATTTTTAGCTTCGTAATTATCAGAAAATGTGTTCTTTAGGTAATTGTCTGAACTGCAGGATTTTTGTGTTGACTTATGCTCATGATTCATTTTTTGTGGCAAGAGCCACTTGCTTCTTGTATGGCTCTCCCACTAGAGCATGTCGTGGACTCTGTGCCGGCCTCTATAAAATACGGGTTTGGGAGCAGGAAGCGTCATGGAAGGTTGGTTTGACAAATGCTTTTGGGCACATTAAGGTTCTCGTGGGGAGGAGGCCGAACCCTGTTCCATCTGCAAGTCCACCAAGTGCTTGGAGGAAATGAACTCTTAAAAGTGCTAACCCTGCCAGGCTCGGTGGCTCAGCTTGTAATCCTGTGCTTTGGGAGGCCGAGGTGAGTGGATTGCCTGATCCCGTGGGTTCAAGACCTGCCTGACCAGCTTGGCAAGACCTCATCTCTACAATAAATCAAAAAATTAGCCAGGTGTGGTAGTGCGCGCCTGTAGTTCCAGCTACTTGGAAGGTTGAGGAGGAAGGATCGCCAGAGCCCAGCAGGTCGAGGCTGCGGTGGCCGGGAGCGGCCACTGCACTCCAGTCTGGGCGACAGAGCGAGACTCCAACTCAAAAAAAAAAGCACTAACCCAAGTGATTGGTATGAGAATAAAGCAAAACCTGCTTCATTCAAAACCTGCTTCCAAGGTTGTCAAACCTTGGGATTGGTTGTCCTAGAGGGTCTGTGAAATGTTCACATCCCTTAGACCAAGTTAGACAAGCGTGTGTCTGAGATGATTTTGTGTTAGACTGAGCCTGCCCCAGGTGGAGGCAGGGGCACTTCGTTGCATAGTTTGGTATATCCCTTCTGGTCTGACAATTCTGTGATTCTCCAGTTCATGTCCTGATTTCCCCAAGAATGTGTCCAGTCTCACTACAGGTTTGCTGACATTTGTGGATATACACAGTTCTAGCAGACGGATGGATTCTTTTCATTCTCCCATGGAGCATTCTCACTGAGACATGGAGGAGAAGGATGAGTGGGTGGGGTTTGGGGTGGGTAGGGGTGTTGAGTTCACTGAGGAGGCTTTTGGGAAGGGGCAGGTGCTCTAGAACCTGAATACAGTGGTGATAAGATCACAGATGTTCCCACTAATGGCCACCTAAGCCCCTCCCTCTTTCAGGCTTCTCAGAGCCACACTTCCCTCTTAG